GAAAAAAGAAAATGTAAGTGCATGTCGAAAATACACTCGTATATGCGTAAAAACACAAGGTCGGCGGAAAAAAAATGGAAAATAAACTCATGAGCACGTAATAGCGTTAAAAAATTGTTTTTTTTTTGTTTTTTTTAATAGAAATAAAAATATATAAGCATATTAAAATTGTTTTTTTTTAAAAAAAAAAATAATATAAAATGTCGAGAAGTGCCTTACGTGCAATAGTCGTTTAAATGTTCTGGAAATCTCACCCTTCTTCCAGAACGCGTCGTTTTAAGTTTATTTTCGGATACTGTCGAAGTATCTTCGTGTGTGTTGGTTGTCGGATGAGGTATTATTAGTGTCTGAGTCGTGTCGTTCGATTGTACCGAAGGAAAATCGACGTGGATAGGATTTCCTTCTAAATACGCTGCTTTTAAGCGATCGATGCTGATGCTATCGTTGGTTCCGTTCTTATCGACTATATAGTACTTAGATTCACGTTGAAGAACTTTGAAGGGTCCTTCGTATGCTGATTCGAATGGTCGTCGATGCGAGTCTCGACGAATGAAAACGTGTGTACTATATCGTAAGTCAGGTTGAACGAAAACATCAGTTGATTGAGGTCGAGTGGAAGCAGGTTTAACTGAACGCATTGCGTTTGTAAGCCTGTTCGTGTAGGAGGTTAGATCCATGTTCATCGAAGAGCACGAAGGATCCACGAATTCTCCTGGAAGTCGAAGTGTCGTTCCATAAACGAGTTGAGCCGCAGTGTATCCAATGTCAGCTTTCACTGCATTGCGGATACCTAGTAAGACGAGTGGAAGAGCGTCGGTCCATTGTGAAACGTTTGCAGCTGATAGCGAAGCTTTCAGTTGTCGGTGAAAACGTTCTACCAACCCGTTTGCTTGGGGATGGTAGGCGGTCGTTCGGAAGCGAGTGATTCCTAAAAGTGTGGTCAGACGACGGAAAAGATCAGATTCAAACTGACGTCCGCGGTCTGTAGTGATGGTTGAAGGGCAACCGAAGTTTGCTACCCATCGTTCGACGAATGTGCGGGCCACTGTTTCAGCAGTGCTGTCCTTGATAGGTACTGCTTCTGGCCATCGAGTGAAACGGTCTACGCAGGTTAAGAGATAAGAGTATCCATTTGAATCTGGTAAAGGTCCTACCAAATCCAGATGAACATGGTCGAAACGAGCATCGGGAGTTTTAAACGAGCCTAAGGGACATTTATTGTGTCTGATAACCTTAGATTTTTGGCAGCTTACACAGGAGCGTGCCCACTCCCTCACGTCTTTATTCATGCCAGGCCAGCAAAATCGTTCTGCTATAAGCTTGATGGTTGCACGAACACCTGGATGAGAAAGTTTGTGCAATGTGTTGAAGACATTGCGTCGATAATGTTTCGGCACGATTGGGCGATCCCTACCTGTAGATGTGTCACAAAGTAAGGTTTCCTTACCTGTTCCCATCTGTTTGATGCGTAGTTTAAGTGTTGTGGACGATAACTCGTGCTGAAGATCACTGTCTTCTTTTTGAAGCTCGGCGAGTTTAAGAAGGTCGATTCCTTGGAAACTGTTCAAGGAAGTTATGCGAGATAAAGCGTCTGCAACTACATTGTTTGCTCCAGAGATGTGTTGAATATCTGAAGTAAACTGCGAAATGTAGTCCAGTTGTCGAGACTCACGGGGAGAGTACTTGTCAGAAGGAGAGCTTAACGAGAAAGTGAGCGGTTTATGGTCCGTGAAAAGAGTGAATTCACGGCCTTCGATATAGTGTTGGAAATGCCGTACAGCACAATACATAGCTAGGAGTTCCCTACCGAATGTGCTGTACCTCGATTCGGTGTCTAGCAACCTTCTAGAGAAAAATGCCAAGGGTTGCCAGGAGTTGTTAACCCATTGTTGTAAGACTCCTCCGATTGCTGAGTCGGATGCGTCTACTGCGATGCTAATGGGTGCTCGGGTGTCCTGATGTGCGAGCATTGTTGCTTTAGCAATCAGTTCCTTAACTGTGGAGAATGCTTTTCGTGCGGTGTCGTCCAAATTAATGGATTTCGCATTTCCACGAAGTTGGTCGGTCAGAGGTTTCATAAGTGATGCGCATCTGGGTATGAAACGTCTATAGAAACTTACCAGGCCGTTGAACGTGCGTAATTGCTTGACGGTGGTCGGTTCTGGGTAATCCAGAATGGCCGCCACTTTGGTTCTAAGGGGTCGGATACCTTGAGCATCGATAGTGTGTCCCAGAAAGTCTAACGAGTCGGTTCCAAATTGGCATTTCTGAACGTTTACAGTTATGCCATGTTTTTGTAATCGTTCGAAAACAAGGTCCAGATGCTTGAGATGTGTTTCTCTGTCCGGACTTGCGATTAGACAGTCGTCAACATACGCGTGTACGAAGTTGAGACCTCGAAAAACGTCGTCTATGAATCTTTGGAATGTTTGAGCAGCATTCCTTAGACCGAAAGGCATTCGCAAAAATTCATAGAGTCCGAAGGGAGTTATGATAGCTGTTTTCGGTATGTCGTCAGTAGCCATAGGGATTTGGTTATACGCTTTAACCAAGTCGATTTTCGAAAAGACAGTTGTACCTTTCAAGGTAGCTGTCAAATCGTGAATGTGAGGCAACGGGTAACGATCGGGAATGGTTTTCGCGTTCAATCGCCGATAGTCACCAGTTGGACGCCAATCGTTGCTGTCCTTTTTAGGGACCATGTGCAACGGAGATGCATATGGGCTACTTGACGGTCGTATGATTCCTAAGTCCATCATGTGATCGAATTCGTTTTTCGCTAACCTTAGCTTTTCAGGAGCTAGTCGTCGTGCTTTAGAAAATACAGGTGGTCCTGTAGTCGTGATGTGATGTGTAACATTGCTGGTTACACACGGTAGTTTCGGTTGAGTTTGTTGTATCCCAGGGTACTTATCGAGTAGTGGTTGATAGAGTGGGTCTATCATATGTTTAACTGTGACTGGGGATACTCTACAACCAGTAAAAGAAGTTACGCAAACGGACAAATTAGTGTTTCCGTCTACTAGCCTCCGTTTGCGAGTGTCGATGATCAGATTGTGGTGTTGTAGAAGGTCCATACCAATGATTGGCATAGAAACATCTGCAACGACGAAAATCCAGTGGATGGGTTTGCGTAAACCCACGTTAAGGTAAACGTACCTTTTGCCATACGTAGCGATCGGTTTTCCGTTTGCCGCCTGTAAGTTTAGGGTCGATTCGTGAAGTCGGTCGTTAGGATTTGCTGGGAGAACGCTAACTTCTGCGCCAGTGTCGACGAGGTAGCGAACTCTCGTTGTCACATCTGTGACGAATAACAGACGGCTTTGTTCGCCGGCTACGGTTGCCGTTAACGCGTGCCGGCTTGGAAGTTTCCCGAATCAGTCGGTTTCGTGTTGGGAAAATTGCAGGGTTTTCTGCAATTTCTGGAAAACTTTCCATACTGGTTATGATACCAGCACCAGTCGGGGTTATCTGTCTCTCGTGGTCTAGAGACAGATCGCTTACGAGAAATGCTTCTACGTGGTGTGCGCGATCTCTTACGGTCGGTACGAAGACTAAGATAACGCGTGAGTGTGTGACATAAGTCGGTTATGTCATTCTGAGTCGTGTGAGGCTTTTCTTTGACTGAAAATACCTCGGTAGTAGAAGGTTTCGTAATTTCTAGAATGCGGTCGGCAGATGCAGCTAGTTCGTCTAAGGCGTTGTTCTGGAACGAGACCAGAACTGCTTGCACCTGTTGGGGAAGTTTTGACAAGAAGAGTTGTTTGAATAGACCTTCGTCGAAAGTTCTTGGGCCTATAACCTCTCTCATCCGTTGCAACATGTCCGTCGCAGAACCGTGTTGCAGGTCGATGTTGTTGAAGAGTTGATCTAACCTTTGTCGATCGGTTAGGTCTCCTCGTTTAAGAATCGAGCGTTTTAAGATTTCGTAAGGATCGGAAACATCACTAGTAAACATACTAGGTGTTACGTACCTGTTGAATTCGCGCGGTAGTGCCTTGACTACTGCGAGGAATTGTGCACGTGTGTCGATCACGCCGTGCTCGGAAAAGTCGGCTTCTGCGTAGCAAAACCAGGCTTCGATGTTGTCGGGCCAGAAAGGCATCAGTTGAAACGAAGGTGGGGACAAGGTCTTAAGCTTGAGTACTTTAGGTGTCTGTTCAGTCATGATGAAATATGAAGTACGATAATGAACGAGGGGAAAAAATATATATATATCCAAGAAAAACACGAAAAAAAATCACAATGTTTAAAAAAAATAAAAAATAAGGCAATGATATATAAAAATCCCAAAAAGGAACAGACTCACAGTTGCAATAAGGTGTACCAGATCACGACGGTCTCACCAATGATGATGTCACAGGTATTCAGTGTTTGACAACGCTTCTACCAGTAACACCTTCTAATATATTTCGTTCCCACCAAGAGAAATCAAAAGACAGAGTCGAGGAGATCGGAAGAGTATATTTGGCGATGACCAATATATCGGGATTCTCTGATCTAATCTGGCTAGCGATTGTGGTTGATGTTGAGCACGGCGTTACTACACGTGATCTGGTGCGGATGCCTGACCGAGCGCCTTCAGCTAGATGAGTCCACTAAAACATATGGTCAGCATCCAATGTCGAAAACTTACAGAGCTATTTATTTTAGGGATTTATTTACCGCTACACGTTCTTCCCAGCGAATTCCAACGACCGGCTATAAATCTACAGGCAGCAAACGGAAAGCTAGTAGACGGAAACACTAATTTATCTGTTTGCGTATTTTCATTTTCCGATTGCAAATTATCTTCTGTCACAGTTGGACACACGCTGCGGTTGGCATGTCCAAGAATACTAATCGAGTAATTGTTGATTGAATGGATTTATCGTGTTGTCAACCCACCATTAAAGCGGAAATTGTCGATTTTCACTACAATATGTGTAGGCTTGTTCATACGAACCCATGCCCTTAAATAAGCACTCATATAGGTCAACACATCGGGTGAACGGAGTCTTAATTACTATACAACAACGACGGACTCTCCCTGCCAGCCGAAAATTTGAATATTTCGCCGTAGCGCTTTGATTTGGGTTATTGTTGGGAGTTAAGCAACACTTATGTCGTAAAAATGTAACACATGCTTCTAAAAAATTTAGGATTCGTCGTGCCATTGTAAAAATACGAATTTATCATTAAAATAAAATGTTGATCTCCACAACCTATTTAACTTACAGAAAATTATCAGTTGGAATACATGTAGCACGGATTTTGGTATATTCATCATGCTACTTTGTTTGTTGATCTTATCTTCCCAGATCATGCTGTCAGATTTCAAAGACCATCTCGATGTTACAATGAGTGAGTTCTAGATAATGTTGCCGAAATCACGGCAATTTAAATTTAAGTGAAAAGATAAGACAATGAGATGCCATAGAATCTTTGCTCATAAAGAACTACAGAAGTAAAGTAGTACGGGATTTCATTTATAGTTACTTTTAAACTAAAATAAACATCCTGGAAAAGGATTCAAACTCGACCGAAAATCAACATCCCATTTCCCTCAAGCTCACTGGCGCGCCTATTTGACTACCAAAACATCTGACTTCGCTGGATTTTATTATGGTCTTGGTTGTTACTGATGCCTAGGAAGAAATCATTAAAGCTCAATAACACTGGGTGTATATTTTGTTCTGAAGTTGATGATTATCCACTATTAGGACCTATTATTGAGAAAAATGGTTTCAAAGTGCATACAAATTGTATAGTAAGTCCAAATTTGTGAAAAACTACTCTTGAAGTTTGCCGCCAGCGGTTTATCTCAGACGAACAATGAGAATGAGTCCCCGGACGATTTCATAGTTGGATTCGCTGTTCCTTCAATTCTCAATGAACTTAGACGCGGTCGTAGCTTAAAATGTTCGGTATGTCGTCTCCCCGGAGCATGTGTTGGATGTGTTGTTAACACTTGTCACACCACCTTCCATCTTCCATGTTTAATTAAAGCTCAAGGGATAACGATATTTGAAGGCAACTTTCCTTCCTACTGCCGCCGCCATGCCAACAGACAGGTATGTTTACGCCTGAATATTTTGTACTCATTCTTTGAGCTGTATCAAGATCACAATAATTTCATAGGTCATAGCTACTTGTGTTTTCTATTCATCGGCAGGCCCAGTTACTATTTTATGTTCCGGATCTAAGTATTTAAGTAATGAAGTCGTACTCCAGAAGGATGTACAACTAAATGCCTAGTGGTTCCAGTGATATTTTTTGCATTTGTAAATGGAAAGTGGAGTAGAGTTTAGTATGGTAAACATAGAGGACCCTAGTTATCATGTTGTACGGCAACCTCACTATCCTGAGCTCTCAATTTTGGGGAAAATTTGACCCATTTTGGGGAAGCCGCTATAGTGAACTTTGGGGAAATGGCACAAAAACCCCAAAATTCCCCTTTAACCTTGGTCAAGGTCGTTCGACCTTGGGGATTTCCCCAAACTTTGGAGTTCGGGTATTTACCTGCTAAGTAATGCACAATAAAGCTTCCTAATCCTTTGATATTATCTTCCGATTGTCACATTTCGAAAATCCTAGTTACAGAAATCACAAGTCGACTTCAAGAGGTTTCGTTAACATCTAACTTCTATATAACATATTTTGACCTAATAATAGCTCTCTATAAAGCAGCTTCGGCATCAGATTGGACAAATTTCTGTACTTGAAGGTCATTGTTGGGCTATTCTATTTTATTAATTACATTTAGTCTTTCTATCTTCTCTTTAACAGATGGTAATTAGTGTCATTCATTTTAATCGTCATCATGGATTAGAATGTTAGCTTCATCAGTTCATAAACATGCTTGATTGTTTGTGTACTTTGATAAGTTGAATTCAAATATCCTACATTATCCCGTTAGCTTAGATGATATGTAATATATAGTACGATGATTTGCTTATTTGGCAGTCTTAAAATCATTCTCCAAAGCAAACGACTACTCATCTCTTGTATGAAGGGAAGCCGAATATTTTCTCACTGAATGTTTACGTATTGTGTTAGACAATAAGAAAATGAAATAAAACGTTCCTTTGGACTCATCTAATACAAATGTAGCGTATGGTTGTTTTGATTTAGAATTTAGATGGCTGGTTGACGCAATGCAAGGAACCTCCCTCTTGTTGTATCTGTCTGTTCTCAATTGTACCAGACAAAGATTTCGAAAGCAGTTGTCTGCCCATAAAAAGACAAAAGTCTGTACCCATTCATTCTTCGGCAACAAAAGAAAATGTTCCAGTCCTCAACGAAACCAGGCGTACAAGACGGTCTTGTGTGGCTCCTTCAACTCCTAAACGAATTACTGTTTCAAACGGGATGTCTTCTGTTAAGAGAAGATATTCTCAATCAGAGCAAGTTTTATTTTAATGTTTTCATAATAAAGAAATAGGAAATTGTCATATGTTAAATACTGCCGCAAAACCGGTGAATATACAACATACTGTCACTTTTTACTGACAGCTCTTTCTCAATAGAATCATCTGTTAGGTCATAGTGTTTGAATGAGTTGTTCAACACTAAAAAATACCCATTCTTATTTCGATTGCCCAAGTTTCTAAATCACCTGTCCAACGGTCAGATTTAGTTTGATAAAAATTTTAGTAGGACTCCAAATGGTTTTTAACTTAATTTTAGCTTAGAAACTCTTCATCATTGTACTAAGTTTTGTTGTGTCAGAGAAAAATCGTCTTATCAACAAAAATTTATTAGGCCGTAGTAATAAATCTGACATGTTCAAGATATTTTCTAATTTCAACTGAAAGCGTTTGACGCTCGGTGATGGCTGATGCAAGGGTAAGTTAGTTAAAAGTTAAGAGTGGCCAAACCAAGACATGGCATCAGTCCGTAAAGACACTGACTACTGGACTGAGCCATGCAGGTAGGTGCAGACCATACTTAGTTGGGCTAGCGTAATTATTGTCAAAGACTTTGGGCGACATGGTTCCAAAATGTTCGTAGTGGTGTAAATGCATTCCCTCTTTATCTCCCCTTTAATTCCAAGTTTCTAGATGCTTTATCGTTTTCTATCGTACTAATTTATGCTTCTTGAATTATACCTTGAGTGTCTCACTTTCAATTTCCGCTAATACTTTCACTGCCTCTGCTACTCTGAGATTTTCCCTGGTAATTTCATCTCTCTGTGCCGATAGGGTATGGCAACTTGGACCGATGTACACGTGTGCCACGCTCTACGTTCGGCATGAGTGAATGACTAACTTAAAGCGTCTATAAAAGCTTGGAAAGATATTATTCTAGACAATACTACTGGTGGTACAAAAGTTCAATAATTATTTTGTATGATTGTTTCATCATAGAATTAACTTACTGCAATTTTTACTGCAAAAAATACTTTTTTTCGCTTTTTGAAACTCAGAACAACTACGAAATTGGTGCTAAGTTTATCAAAGTTCATGAGTGACCGCGCTCTGCGTTTGTTAGTAACCAAACACATCAATTTTCAATTTATCTTCGTCGACTATAGTTAGTCCCGACTATTAATTACAGGTTGACTTTGTGTTGAAAGTGTGATTGTAATATAATCATGCGCTCTGCCAATATTTAGCACCTCCAGCTTCAATATGGTGAACGAGACTACTGCTACCCTCTTGTTTCTTGCTCCACTAACTAGATTAAGAAGTCCAGTTGTATAAAAGCTTTGTTGATCAAGAGCCGGTAGAATTCAAAATGCGTTTAAGATAATTAGTTTTATATCGATTACAATGTTTATATTTTAGGAAGTGAGTAAATTGTCAATGAACACAAATGATAGTAAAAAATACATTAAACGTCCATGAGCAGAATTCACACTGAATAAATTCATGTAATGAAAACCCATCTTAATTCGACAATAATTTTCTTCTTAAGCTGTATTTGGGGATTCGACATCGCCAACAGTGTGTTAATGAATTCAATTTGTGTGATTAAAGTTGTAAATTCGCATTTGTTATAAAATTGTACATGTCCACAATTGATGGTTTAAAACTTCATAAGTCTATCAAGTCGGAAATTATCTAAATAAATAAATAACTATTCCCATGTTAGTTTATCGGCTTTGTGGGATTATTAAGTCACTACTAATTTTCCACTGGAAACAAGGTTATAAACAGGGTATTGGTTATAGTGGATATATGTCGAAAACAAATCTCTCCTTATTAGGAGGGTAAACCAGCAATATGATCTTAAAATCCGTACCTATTCATACAATCGCGGTTCCAAGTATGCTATTCAAATAAATACTGTTGCACTCAGAGTGATCTCTAGCAAATACAGTATTCGTTTTTTGAAAATAAATCCGTACTTATTGTGGAAAGTGACTTCAGAGCAGAGTACATCAATCTATACTTCATTAGTAAGTTATGTCTTCATTAAACCAGACCTCATCAGTGCATCTCACTTTCTATCAATGTGTCTCGTAAAACAGCTATACCAACTAACATGCGGATTCACATTTTATCGGATGGATGGCATATTATTACAGACATGCGTTCTCTAAATATTGCAGATGAATCCCCCATGCGCACTCGTTTTTCATTTCTATTGACTCCGTTTATTAATATTGAGTTTCCACTGTATGATGAAGCTTTTATCTTGCACCGTTCTCACCCTTTAGTACATCTACTTGGGAGTTACCCGGTTCTTCCTCTTCGGAGCCCGAAGAACAAAATCCTGTTCAACAACATAAAACACCCAAAGAATCTGTTACACTACCTTCATCAATGTCACATATTCCTGGGTGGTTGAGTGACTACTTTCTGAGTCTTGCTCCTGAAAAGAGGCTTCCTGTCTTTGAGGCATGGAAACATCACACTATCCATGGGCTCTGTTGTCCTTTATCGTGGATGCATAGAAATTGTATTGCAGGTTTTGCTGTTTCTGCTGCATTACATTACTTAAAATGCCCTTACTGTGCAAATAGAGAAATATTCATCAGGTCTATCATCGATACTGGTATATGGGTCCCAGATCAGTAAGTCATAGTATTATGTCCTTTCTTGTTTATCTAACTCTAAATTTTGTACTTACTTGATAGTGCTATCTATATACAAACCTTTAGATACGTTTTTCAAGGTTACTGTAATATCAGGTTTCAAGTCGCTTATTCACACATGATTTAGTTAACAAATCTGATTTCAAATAGCGAATTTGTAACAAAATATGACTGATGTTCATCTAAAATTCCATGAATATTGAAGATTTAGTGGCTGCACCTTCTTGGTTTTTTTATATCAACGGTTTAGGAGTGAGCAGCGAGATTGAATGAGGTAGGTAGAATCTGGGAACTGAACGTAATCCCATCTGACTGGTCTCAATCACTGATTGTGCCAGTCTATAAAAAAGGACAAAAGTCCTCTTGTGACAATCACAGAGGAATCAGTTTGACTAATATAGTGTCCAAAATATTAGCTTCAATAATACTTCGACGCCTAACTAAAGCTCGTGAAGAGCAAACTAGAGAAAATCAGGCTGGTTTTCGACCTGGACGTGGTTGTATAGACCAGATATTCACACTACGTCAGGTTCTAGAACACAGACACATGTTCAGACGCCCCACAATAGTAGTATTTCTCGACCTTAAGGCGGCATTCGACTCTGTTGATCTTAAGGTTCTATGGCAGTGTTTGTCACTGAAAGGAGTACCAAAGAAGTACATTAACCTTATAAAGGCTCTCTACTCGAACACAACTGGACGAGTGAGAGCTTATGGCGAACTGTCATCAGAATTGATTACCTCAAGTGGTGTTCGTCAGGGCTGCCCACTCTCTCCATTCTTGTTTAACTTTATCGTAGACATGCTTTTCGAGATAACACTTTCCTCATCTGAATTTCCAAGGGTTGAAATTCTACCGGGAGATCCACTTGTTGACTTAGAATATGCCGATGACATAGTTCTATTTGGTGAAGACGCTGACAAAATGCAGAGTCTTCTGATCACTCTAAGCAACAATGCAAGCATATTCGGGATGCGATTCTTCCTCTCAAAATGCAAAATGTTGCTTCAGGATTGGGTTGCATCGACACCCGAACCACTGATAGGGAGTGAAGTAGTCGAGCGTGTCGACCACTTCACTTATCTTGGAAGTCTTATCAGCCCTTGTGGTCTGGTGTGTGACGAAATCTCAGCACGGGTACAGAAAGCTCGACTAGCTTTTGCCAACTTTGCGTCCCAGATCTTAGCTAAAATATTAAAATATTAAAATCATCCTGTGACAACCATAGAGGGATTAGTTTAACTAATATAGTATCTAAAATACTAGCCTCGATAATTATCAAACGCCTAACTAAGACTCGTGAACTGCAAACACGAGAGAACCAAGCTGGCTTTAGACCTGGTCGTGGCTGCATCGACCACATATTCACCATTCGTCAGGTTCTAGAACACAGGCATACCTATCGGCGTCCGACGATGGTGGTCTTTCTTGACTTAAAAGCAGCATTTGACTCTGTAGACCGCGAGACTCTGTGGCAGTGTCTGTCATTGAAAGGCGTACCTCAGAAGTACATAAACCTTGTAAAGGCTCTTTACTCGAACACTACTAGTCGAGTCAGAGCTTATGGCGAACTGTCATCTGCTTTTGCAACCTCAGGTGGTGTCCGTCAAGGCTGCCCATTATCTCCATTTTTGTTCAACTTCATCATAAACATACTGATGGAAATAACATTCTCGTCTACTGGATTCTCGGGAGGTCCACTTATCGACTTAGAATACGCAGATGATATAGTCCTGTTTGGTGAAGACGCTGATAAAATGCAGAGTCTTTTGGTAGCACTAAGCAACAATACCAGAATGTTTGGAATGCGTTTCTCTCCCTATAAATGGAAGCTACTGCTTCAGGACTGGTGCGCGTCAACACCTGAACTAAGGATAGGGAGTGAAGTAGTCGAACGCGTTAACAACTTCACTTATCTTGGAAGTCTGATCAACCCTAATGGGTTGGTATCGGACGAAATCTCAGCACGGATTCGAAAAGCTCGCTTGGCTTTTGCCAACTTACGTCACATGTGGCGAAGGCGAGATATCCGTCTATCAATAAAAGGACGAGTATACTGCGCGGCAGTCCGTTCTGTCTTAATTTATGGCAGCGAAACATGACCATTAAGAGTAGAAGACACTCCTAAGCTACTAGTATTTGACCACAGATGCCTTAAAAATATTGCTGGCGTCTGCTGGGATCACCGGGTAAGTAATAGTGAGGTTAGACGCAGGGTATTAGGGAATGATGGTAAATCAGTTGATGAGGTTATGAATCTTCATCGACTGAGATGGTTGGGCCACGTATTACGTATGCCTGAACACCGATTACCGCGACGTGCAATGCTAACCGGTGTAGGGGATGGTTGGAAGAAAGTTAGGGGCGGCCAAACCAAAACGTGGCATCAGTGCCTGAAGTCTAGTCTGAGCCATGTTGGTAGATGCAGACTACTTGGTTGGGGTCCGCGTGACTATCGTAACCAATGATTGGAGACTGTGTGTGACATGGCTCAGAATCGATCACAATGGCGTAGGTGTATACACTCTCTGTCTTCCCTTAAACTAAGAGATTAAAATTGCTTTATATCTTTCTTTCTACTAACTAATTCTTTCTTCCTATACTATATCCTTATATGCAATCTTTCTCCTATATATTACCACCTTTGACCTAACCACTCCTATGAATCCGGTGTTCATCTTGCTGTGCTAATGAGGTATGGCAACCTGGGCCGATGCATACATGTGCCTGGTCCTACGTTGTAGCTGACTGACTGTCATTTATGGTGCAGGCGAGATATCCGTGTACCAACCAAAGGATAGATTTACTGCGCATCAGTTCGTTCCGTCCTACTTTATGGCAGTGAAAAATGGCCGGTAAGAGTAGAGGATATTCGAAGGTTACTAGTATTAGATCATCAGTCAGCTACAACGTAGGACCAGGCACATATATGCATCGGTCCAGGTTGCCATACCTCATTAGCACAGCAAGATGAACACCGGATTCATAGGAGTGGTTAGATCAAAGGTGGTAATATGTAGGAGAAAGATTGCATATAAGGATATAGTACAGGAAGAAAGAATTAGTTAGTAGAAAGAAAGATATAAAGCAATTTTAATCTCTTAGTTTAAGGGAAGACAGAGAGTGTATACACCTACGCCATTGTGATCGATTCTGAGCCATGTCACACACAGTCTCCAATCATTGGTTACGATAGTCACGCGGACCCGAACCAAGTAGTCTGCATCTACCAACATGGCTCAGACTAGAAGTTAGTGACTTCAAGCACTGATGCCACGTTTTGGTTTGGCCTCCCCTAACTTTCTCCCAACCATCCCGAACACCGGTTAGAATTGCACGTCGTGGTAATCGGTGTGATGGCTGGGTCACGTGTTACGTATGCCCAACCACTGACTACCCCGACTTGCGATGTTTTATTGTGTAGGAGTAGGTTGGGAGAGAGCTAGGGGCGGTCAGACCAAAACATGGCACAAGTCCATGAAGTTATTGACAAGTGGATTGAGCCATGTTAGTAGGCGTAAACTACGTGGTTGGGAACCGCGAAACGATAGCAACCGATGGTTAGAAACCTTGGAAGACATGGCTCAAAATCGTTTGCAATGGCTCAGGTGCATCCACTCTTTGTGCTCTCCCAAATTCTAATCTTCTGAATTCTTCATGTCCCTTATTTTTTCTCTTTCCAAATTTATTTCACTGGACTATACTCCTTGAATAAAATGTTCAGAGCCTAATCTTCCCGATTACCGCCTATACTTTTACTACCTCTACCAATATGGGATTTGAATGGACAACTGCATCTCTGTGCTAATGTGGTATGGCAACTCGAATTGATGTACGTATGTACGAAGTTCTACGTTGTTACTGACTGACTAAGCTGTGAAATTATTTCTAGAACTAGGATTTTAACGGTAATTTACAAACCTGACTGCTAGCGATGTACTGAAACCACGACCAAATTGTCCTTAATTTAAGAAGTTTAAAGGGTACTGCGGTATAATGGTTTGTTCACGGTCATTATAAATGATAGGCATTTTCATCAATGGGAAACGTAGTTTGTACATAGTGTCGATGACAACTACTTAACAATCCCTAATAGATTCAAGACACATGCTATCTATCCATTTTCAGTGAAACTTTGTCCCGATTATGAGTGATTCTAGATTCCTTGGTACATCCAAGGGTAATGTGTAGTGGCTTTGCTTCGTTAATCGATCACCTCAATAACCGTTATATTATAAATCTCAACGATGTTTGAAATCAGAAGGCAATGAAAATCGGCAACTACAGTTTATTAGCGGATAGTGCAAATCACAAAGTTATAAGCACATCAAGCGAACTTGAAGCAGAGAGGCGATTAAGTATATGTGAGCAAACACAGGCAAATTTGTAGTCAAATCGCACAAGGGCGCAGCAAGGCAAGGCAAAAGCTAATTACGAGATTTGAGCTTATATATACATGAAGAGGAAGATGAATCATCGAGCAACATTTGAGATATTAACATTTTAGCTAGAGTGTCATGTGATCTAGTAATCATAACGGTACAAAGAAATATGCGGATCGCTACTGCTGTAATAGCATTGTCTGTTAAGTAAGTTAATAAAAAGGGCTTGACAAAAATTAACCATAATCGAAATTGGTTGTAGGGCTGTTGCTATAATTGAATTTGTAAACCCAACTAGCTCGTTTCGTATTTTTTGTCGACTAAACATAAATCTATCCTCTGTGCAAAAGTTGCAAATGTTTCTCCAAACATCCTTTAGAAACTACGATCAGTTGTAGTCCACACAACCTGGCACAAATGTGCAGTAAACAAATTCAACATACAACAGCCCGTCGAGAATATTTTCCAAAAAAGGATAAATAAGAGGAATAAATAGTTATGTAAGCTCAGATTTTAAGGGGAAGATAAGTGAATCCATATACACATAATACCTATTTAAACATAAAAAATACGAATTTCCATAAACTGATCCGCTTTCAGAGAGTTTATCATCAAGATATACAATCATACAGTTATATAATATTTTAAGTATTCATTCAATGAACAGACATGATGATTTTATAAGATTACAATGCTAGATCGTATAATGTAAATAATAACACTCAAGGATTGTGTGCGCATAAAGAGCCGTGGAGAATTGATTAGTTGACACTGAACTGTAATTTGAATGAAGTAGGATAATTAAACATAGTTACAATAATACGAAATCAATAGGACGAAAAGAAAGTAATAAAATAATAATGATAGTTTGAAGCCATTGTACGGACAGCGATAATGAGTACTTGTTTTATGCACACTGTTTAGATTTCATTTCACAGATGGCAGGAGCTGGTGTTTTATGGAGTTTAATACAAAAAATCTTGTTGGATTTAGATGGATTATGTCAGCAACCCCAATCAACCTGTAGATCATTGAAGTGATTAGAACAGATTAAGTGTTCAAGGATGTTACTCCTAACCGCTGTCCTCTTACATTTGTAGATCCACACTGGAATATGCTTTTGTATCTGAGTTTGGAAAAACCTCTGGTTACGGCTCGTATACCTTGTTGCACAAGAATAGGTGAACTGTTAGGTGCACATTGAGGCGACCAAGCGATGGAGGTTATCCTTCACAGATACGGAAAACGAATCTCTGCTGGTGAATGTTAATCGCCATTTCCTGGTTTGGTCGCTCGTTGTCTTCTCTCAACTTATTCCTTCTGTCAACGTTGGACTTCAAAGCGGTCAGACATATGCAAATATTTCGCCGCCATTCCAACCAACAAAGTTTCGCTACCTCATCAACTTGACGTTGCCTCCTAGTACCTCATACCTAACCTCAGCATTTTTCACTGTTGTTTTACGACAAACGATCAATGCCTCGATTTTATGACAAACCTGCAGCCTATACATCTTTGTTTCTGTAGACTGCGTTTCACAGTGGACTTCTTTCCCTCTTTGGTTAACAGAGGAACACCTACATTACAAGTTAGCTTTCTGATTCTATCCCTGTGGATGAATTAGTGTTCCAATCAAAACTAATTGTGCGTAAAACATTAGATGAATGCAAAAATTTATGTAATTTTAAGGTTTCAGTGAATAGTGGTTAAGACGTTTCATAAACTATAAAGCTTCCTACATTACTGTCTTACCTCCTGGAGCAGAATTTTAATGGAAATTTTTCAGAGTAGTCAAGCCATGGGGTGACATTCATTCATATCAACGAAAAACACTATTTCGTTACGTTAAGTCAGTTGCATTGGTGTGAATATATCTAAGTACTGATTACCTCACAATGTCATATCTTGAGGATCAGTAAACAAATAGTAAGTGTTGTTTTATTTTGTTGATAGACTTATGAAGATAACGCCTTTTACCAAGGTAATACGTTGTATTTTTATTTATTCAAAGGGATGCAGCCTGGGAATTGGAACCAGGGGCTTATGCAGATCTTGTTCCCATTAGCGAATGTTCCTCTAATGATGAACCACAAAGTAACGATACATCCACTTCATCATCTCAGTGTGATTGCAATCGGTGGAGCCAAAAAAATGTCAGCCATGCGGCGCACGTTACACAGACTGCGGGTGTACGAGTTGAGTATGCATCATCCAGTGGATCACCGTCTACAGATCAGGAGCGTGTTCCAGTACTTTCACTTATATGGAACAACCAAAACTTCAAAAAACGTCGTGGAAGAAAGCCTTCATCAAGACGTCGGACGCAAATATCTCAAGCCGTTCCAAATACACCTGGTCCAACTCGTGTTTCTCGTAGGCACACGTCCATTACAACACGAAGTATTCAGGATGATCACTCTCCTAATAGTGCTTCAAATGAGAGCAGACTACGTCAAGTAACCTTAGGATCTTTTCTTTCTGTTAGGACTCAGACTTCCCGGTAACTCCTTTTGCACTTCAGATTTTCTTAGTTTGTCTCTATTTCCTAAATCTCTGACATTAAAAAGTTAAAGATTGAATCTGTACATACAAAAAATTCTATTTGTTTTAACAGATTCCTTTTTATGAAAACAGTAGGGTAGGTGCGTTATGCATCATTTTATCGTTGTTAGTGCTTATGAATCTTTTAGGACTTAATGAAATACCATCAGTTCGGTAAACACGATTGTGTTTTGTAAGATTACATGGTAATTTTGTATTGATTACTTTTATTATGCTTTCCCTAAAGGCCTCAATGTCCGTACAGTTATAAATTTAAGGACTGAATTTTATTTGGAATCCTTTAATTTTACGAAGTAATAACCTGTGGTGGGGATAATTGAACTTTTTAAATCATTCAAGTATGATTAGGTAGGATAAAACTACTTTTGTAAACATTGGTTTATTTATTGAGTCCAAATCAGGACTTACGCATTTTACATTATTTATTTATTTAAGCGCACAAAATATAGTATAACTACCAGAGATAGGGTGACCATACAAAATGTGGGTAAGATCGTAAGGAAAAGGAAGTACATTTAAAAGAAAAGTATAGTCAACAAAATAATTAATAAGAACGGTATGTGGTAAAAGATATAGTTCAGCCAATAGCACACACACGGAAATTCGGAATTCCTGTAGTTAAATTCTCCTTTCGCAGCAGGATCGCCGTTCGTCGCTGGAACTCCAACCAAGGAGTCGCAATCGACTAACAAATGTCAATCCTATACTGACTTTCACACTACGGTGCCAAGCCATAAACTGACTACCGCTTTTTTAAACCACTCCTAGTGTCATCAATCAACGTGCGCTGAGGTGACATTCGTAACACTTTCAAGTCACCGAATCCGGTTTTTAGGGGTTCGTGACATCAAGTGAGTTTTCATCGCATTACTAATGTGTTGCAACTGGATGTTAGCAATCCCTCGGAGATGACGTAATCAGACACAGAGTCATCCGGCTCCCTAACTCGGAGAGGTTAGACTTTCTAAACATAGGACGAAACTGTTCTCACCGACGCGTTCTAAGTCTGACGTTTTGTAGCCGAACTAAAATCACGATGACTTCAAAAATGTCCAAGATTGCCATAAGTCCTAATCTCTTTAGTCAAACAACTACCAACACAAATCTACCTAGATACCGGAACTTCCAATTACTTACCACCAAGGGTGAGTGCAGACAAGCTCATGCCAGTCTTGTAGAAGTGCCTTTACTTAGGAGATACAAGGTTCATACAATACCTGAGGACACTGTCGACCCATTAAATGCAATTTGTATAACTTTGGTATGATTGCATGTCAAGACAATATTATCTGCATACTCAAGATAGAAAAGTCTTTCTTCAAGTAACAAATCTACACCACACCTACCCACTTCCATCAGATGTTTCCAGTATGCGGTCGATGAGAAAGTTGACTGGATAACCCTGCCTAACCCCACTGCTTAAACGGAGAGATGGTTGTATGCCCTCGCTCTGCCTGTGGTGTTGATATATAGAAACTACGAATTGTTCATAAACTTTTCCGACACATCCTTCGACAAAATAGCACAGTTATGTATTGATATCAAGAAACATAACGATCGTTGGTCCTCATGTATGATGCTCTAACATTTGGTGGGAGGTGAACACATAATCAATACTTCTATGGCTAGAACGAGCATTCTCCACGCGAATCAATCTCCCTCCGGTTTTGAACTATCTGCAGAATAATGATAGGAGCTAATAGTTTGGACACGGTCGGAAGTAGATTTATACCGCCTAAAATTGTTGCCTAGATAACGTAGACCCTGTTTATAAATAAGGACTGTCGCTTCATTTTAAGACAATAGATTCCTAAGTTTGCTATCATCCTTAGGAAGAGTCGGAGGTAAATTGTCTTGGTCAGGTGACTCATTGGGTTTCACAAGTAAAGGTTTCTGTGAGCCCCCGTCTCGTTAGCCGGATTGGCTGTAACTGGCCAGGGAGGGCTGAACAAACTGGTTGCCTCCACAGTAGATTAGTTGGTTTGTTCCTCGAAGGACCCCGTCCTCTTTGTTAATCAAAGTGTTGAAGTAAATTAGGTATCATATTCGCGCTGAATAAAAGTATACTCATTATGAAGTACCTGTGTGAATCCACGTCATAGCAGTTACTTGGTCATTTAAGTTATCTCAAACTTACTGTTCATAAGGAATACTCAGGAGTTGTATAATTTATGATACCACAGGCATTTTGTATTTATCGAAAAACCGTTAGACTTTAATTTAATAATGAAAAAGTTCAGAATACATTTCAGAAATAGCTAGGGAAGTTATCTAACCGTGAAAGTGATATCTGAAAGGCTGTGGAAACAGCAGTGTTCGTCAGGGCTTATCCACTTTCCCCAATTTTACTTTTGTAATAGACATGCTTTCAGATATAACACTCATCGTCTGACATTTCTTTAGTTGATCTTCCATCAGGAGATCCACTTGTTGACGCAAGTGATATAGTTTTGTTCGGTGAAGACGCTGACGAAATGTAGTCTTCCGACCACCTTAAGCTGCAATGAAAACATGTTTAAGATGCGATCTACCTATCCAAATGCAAAATGCTACTTCAGGATGAACTTGCGTCAACGCCTAAATTAATAGTAGAGAGTGAAGTGGTCGAACCCACTTACCGCTTCAGTTCTGACATTTGAAGAAATGCCGACTAGCTTTTGTCAACGTGGGTCACCGGTGACATGGGCGAGATATCCGTCTCACGATCAGTCTGCCTTGTTCTATTTTATGGATGTGTCCATTAAGAATAGAAGATATACGTGGGTTACTGGCATTCGCTCATAGGTGTCGTCGACGAAGCGCTCATGTATTTTGGAACCACGGAGCGAGCAATGTGTAGATTAGGGGTAGGGTACTAGGTAAGGACGGCAAATCGATTGGTGATCTTGACGTTTCTCCAATAACTGCCTATCTCGACGGGCGATATTGTTTGGTGTAGAAGTAGGCTGAAATGAAGCCAAGAGCGTCAAGACACGGCTTTGGTTCACGAAGTCAACGATAGTTGCACTGAGCAATGGTAAGAAGTGTAGGCTACCTCGAATAACATGGCTCAAAATCGTTTGCAATGGTGCACACGAATACACTCTTTGTCTTTCCCCAAATTCTAAGCTTTTGAATTGCTCATAAATTTTGTTTTTATTCCATCAATTTATATTCTCTTGAATCATATCTTCGATGCCTAATCTTTCCTATTACCACCGATACTATTGCTACCCTTAGTATTACGGGATCTGACCTGACAATTTTATCTCTCTGTGCTAACGGGATGTGGGAACTTGGGTCAACGTACATGCATACCAGGTTCTGTTGTGACTGACTTAGTATTTATTAGTTTTGTTTATCACGTTTAATAAGTCATAATACAGTGCAAGTTATTAGTATGATGGCAATTAATTGTGAACAATAACATTATGCCAGTTATTAAATTGGTCGACATCTTTCCAAAAAAAGTTTCTACGATTATTAAAAGTGTACCTTATGGGTCTTGAAGCTTACTAATACCTCCACAATATCAATTTATTGGTAATAAAGCATTGTTAATGCCATATTGTCAGAATTTATGTGCTATAAATGTTTTTAGTTAAGATTTAGTTGTCACGAGTCATATTGCGGGCTAGTTAACTGTCTTCCTAGTTAAAGTGATACATATGCGACCGTTGTTGCTACCTTGACGTGGTGGTCGGGCTTGCCTATCGTGATGAAGCAACCGAGCTATACTGGCTGGAACAACCGTTCCTCAAGGTCCTACCATGTCAGACAGGTCGGTTGAAGAGCGGTAAGACTAAAAGCAACAAACCCAAGGTCCGAAGGCGAAGTCGTACTGCTGACTGTACAGAGGTGTGACAGCAGTAAGGTGTTTCCTTCAGACAACCAGCATGACAGCGATGCTGCCTTCCCACAAGGAGGGGTGGGGTTAGAAAAGGTCGACCCTAAAAATGCACACCTCGCCTTATCCCACGGATATCCGTCTCCGGCGGTAAGGTCTCAATAAGTACGGAGCTAACACAAAAATTACCCATAACAAGGTCGTGTGTGACCGACCTCAAGCAGTTGTCCCTTGGGCACTGCGGTCACGCTCTCAGGTCACTAAGACCACTTCTAATCCAATTTCCTTTTCAGGTACCTCCAGAACAACCCTTCCACGGTGTGGGCAACCGGGAAGTGATAACCGCCCTCATACTTCTAACAGCACTCAAGACCACTGTATTCATAATCAACCTCCTCTTCAATTCCTATTATTCCTCCTACATCGACTTTCAACTCTATATTTCCTCTCTCGGCTTCCACCTCAAGTGTCACCGTAGCCAACGATTCTAGTGCGCAAAACACTGTCCCAGGTCTACTGAAACCTCGCTCCAAACTACACATTGGAGCCTTCAACGTACGCACCCTATGTCAAATCGGTCAGCAGGCTTCCTTGGCTAAAACCCTAGAGTCTCTTTCCATTGATGTATGCTGTGTCTCCGAAACACGCATACAGGATTCCAGTGTGGTCATTCACTTGACCTCACCTCGGCAAGACGGAGAGCCAACGAGATACACCCTTCGTGTGTCTGGTGACCCGATGGCAAGTTCTCGTGGACTGGCAGGTGTAGGCATAGCACTAAGCATGAGGGCCGAACAAGCACTGCTAGAGTGGATCCCCGTCAACAGTCGTCTATGTGCTGTTCGGCTGAACGGCTACGTAAGAACTCGGAAGGATAGGGACACACGTCGTTGCCTTTTTGTCGTTTCTGCCTACGCTCCCACTGACTGCAGCTCAGATGAAGTGAAAGATGAATTTTACAGAAAGCTATCCGAACTTCTTCAGAAAGCTAAACGCTCAGACATAGTACTCGTAGCAGGTGATTTTAATGCTCAGATAGGCAGTTTAAACCAAACAGAAAGGCATTTAGGTGGATATTTTAGTATTCCGACACAGCGAACAGATAATGGTGATCGTCTGCTGCAGCTATGCTCAGACAATCGTTTATTTTTAGCAAACACAAATTTTAAGCATAAGGAGAGACATCGTCTAACATGGCGACCCCCTACACCAAACCAACGATGGACTCAAATAGACCATATTGCCATCAGTCATCGTTGGAGAGGGTCGGTAGAAGATTGTCGCTCATTCTGGAGTACCTGCTTGGACTCCGACCATGCCCTAATACGGGCACGCATCTGCTTGCGCCTCACTGGACGCAAAAAAGCCACATTAAAAAGACCCATTAGAACTGAGTTGAGTAACGAGAAAACCAAAAGTAGGTTCCAGGAACAACTGAGGTCACACTTAGGTAGTTGTGAAGACGAGGCTGACCCAGATGTTGCTTGGAAGGGCATACAAGCAGCTGTGGAAACAGCAGTGACATCTATTAGTGACTTAAACCACAGAGTTACAAGGAACCAGTGGATTTCTTCAAGGTCTGTCACACTGATGGATTCTCGCAAACTCGTCCCATCAGGTTCTGAACATGATGAAGAGCGTAAACAAATCAGATCTAGGTTAAGAAAAAGTCTAAGGAACGACCGTGAGCAGTGGTGGGTAACGAAAGCAAAAGAGATGGAAAAGGCGGCGACTATAGGGAACACAAGACAGCTTTACAGACTAATAAAAGAAACTGGAATTAATAAGTCAAGTGTAAGTGAGATTATTTCGGAAAAAGATGATACTCTCATCTGCTCCCAGTCCAGACGTTTAGAACGATGGGCGGAACATTTTAGAGAACAGTTCAGCTGGCCTTCAGCTACTCTACAACTACCCTCCATTCCCAGACAATGTGAATGGAACATTGAAGTAGGTCCCCCAACTCTTGCTGAAGTTGAGAAGGCTATAGTTAATCTGAAACGAGGAAGGGCAGCTGGTCCAGATGGATTGGCTCCAGAGGTCTTTAAGGATGGTGGTCCAATTTTAGCGATTAGGTTGACTAATATTTTAGCTAAGATCTGGGAATTAGACGTTATCCCATCTGACTGGTCGCAATCACTTATCGTCCCAATATATAAGAAAGGGTCAA